TTGAAACAACCGCGGCCTAGACACGGAGACCGCACACGCGAATTAAGAAAGCTTAAGTAAAAGGGAAAAGGCTCTGGAACGGACAAGAACATTCTTTTCAAACATCGTCCAACCAAAAACCGCCGGTGCTCTGGGAAAACAGAAATGTTTCCATTATTCTTGATACTACATATATTCATAGCAATTCTTTACGCGTGGAAAGCGAGCGGACGTTGATAATATAAAAGTACTGCTCTAATTCGCCGGGGGAACTTATTTTCTTCAGCGAAAAATGTCGGACTGTTTATGAAGGATTTTCTAAAAATGTTGTAAAAATCTGTATCGACTATTATCACTTTTAATACCGTTTTCGTATAAGATACGTGGCAGGTATTAGGTACGTAATCGTCGAACTATGTCACGTGGCCTCCGAAAATTGCCTTCGAATCGTGGCATGTGGTCTCTGAATTTCTTTCAAATCGTGTCACGTGGCCTGGAAATTGCCTTCGAATCGTGTCATATGGCCTGCGAATTGCCTTCGAATCGTGTCATATGGCCTGCGAATTGCCTTCGAATCGTGGCATGTGGCCTGCGAATTGCCTTCGAATAGTGTCATGTGGCCTCCGAAAATTGCCTTCGAATCGTGACATGTGGTCTCTGAATTTCTTTCGAATCGTGTCACGTGGCCTGGGAATTACCTTCGAATCGTGATATGTGGCCTGCAAATTGCCTTCGAATTATGTCATGTGCCCTCCGAAAATTGCCTTCGAATAATGTCATGTGGCCTTCCAAAATTGCCATCGAATCGTGTCGTGTGTCCTCCGAATTGCCTTCGAATCGTGACAAAAAAAAATAGAAATAAAAGACTTCCATCATAATTTTTATTCTAGCACTACTATGTATTCATATCAATGTACACCGGCATGTTGGCCGCTTTCTTTGCCGACTGTGCCCAGTTTCTCTTAAAACGAGAAGTATCGCGAGGCTCGAAGAATCACGACCTAGTATTCTCAGATCTGCCGGTTTCAATTCCGGCCTCCGAACATTTCTGGGAGAAATTACTGTATTTATCATTTAATCCGACAAAGAGACAGACGAAGAAAACATGTTTTGAGCGATACACAAGCGGAACAAAGTCAGAGAGAGAGAGAGAGGGGGGAGAGAGCAGCACAGCAAAAAAGAAAGGGGAAAGAGAAGAAGTTCGGTAGTTGGACTTTTGTTTGGCGAGTTCTTTTCGGGGGCAAGGTTCAAGGGAAGCTAAACTGAGGTTGTTGCAGTAGATTGCGAGCGACACGTTGTCGGCCAGTCGAGCTTTCCGGGCGAGAATGAGGTCTTGAGAATAGCTTTGAGCACCGAGCCGGGCTACTTCGTGAGAAGAGGTGCAAAGAGGACGGCGGAGTCGGTCGCAAAAGCACAGTGCAAAGAAGAGGCTGGCGATTCTATAGAGAGTTATTTGCTCTCTGCGCACCAACAAATCCTGCGAAACGGGCTTTTGTCCGGCGGACCTATTTGTCTCGACATACCAGAAGAATCTTGAACGATTCGGGGGAAAAGGCCTCGAGCGAGATTTCACTTTTCGCGTTTTGCGCCGTCATGTGTTAAATCGACGGTTCGATCGCTTATGCATTAAATCCACGGGATATCTCGTTCGAGTGGCAACGCTTTGTAGTTCGCATAAAACAAACTTGGTCTTCTAATGAACTATAAAGAAAAATTGTTATTCCTTTGTTCCCGTTTCAGCTTCTTACAATTAGAATACTTTGACAACCAGAAGACATTCGGCTCGATTTGTGGTAATGTCATGCAACTGGTAACAACCTTATTACATGCGAAAAGAGTTGGATTTATTGCACTGACAGCACTTTTCGTGACCTGTGCGCTGAAGTGCACTTAATCCTTTATTGGAAGGCTGTTAAGGACTTATTTAAGTTTGTGCTAATAATTATTTAATATATTATATTAATGGTATTATATTATATATATTATATATATATATAATAATAATATTATAATATTATATAATTATATATAATTATATATATATATATATATTTTTTTTTTTAAGATTTACATGTGTCATCTAATGTTATGAAGTAAATTGAATTTTTTATTATAGCGCTTTGACGTTGTTCATGTAATATTTTAGATCATCATTCTCTACAGAAATATTATAACAATCATTTTTCTTATTTTTCTTAATATTTTGCAAAAAGAATATATTTTAAGGATACGTTATTCATTTGCTTTAACTTTTATTGCTAAAAGCTATCAAAGTAAAGAAAGACTAATATACTCTCATCAATTAACAAAAAAATTCGTAGCTCCCCATTTAATTATAAAGGAAAAATAATGAAGCTATGTTTTAACTAAACTACATCTAACTATATTGCGTTGCTATATATAACACATGAAAATAAATAAATATTTCACGAAACCAGTTTGTCTCTTGGATAGCACACACGTATAAGTTAAAAGTAAGAAATTGCAAATGATTAATTAAGACGTTCACGTCGGCGTGTACCACCGGTGGTTCACACTTGAATATTCCATTGAGCGGCGTGTACCACCGGGGTGGCTCACACGCAAATACTTCATCGGACAGTTCGTACACCACCGGTGGCTCACAGTTTTTCTCATTGGACAATGAGTGTACCATCAATCATGTATTTGCGATTATGAGTACTATCATCATGTATTGGGTTGGCAACTAAGTAATTGCCGATTTGTCCAATGAAATAAAAAATTCTTTTTTACTTGGAACGAAGTTTAATCTGTAATGTATTTTCCATTTTGTTTGACGACCTTTTGCCATCTCTCTGACAACTTGAAAATTCCACGCTCGTAGAAAGTCTGATCCTTTTCGACCAAAAACTGAGTTAAGTGAGATTTTACAGCGTCATCATCATTCAAAGTTTTACCACGAAGGGAGTTGTCCAGGGATCGAAATAAGTGGTAATCCGATGGCGCGAGATCAGGGCTATATGGTGGGTGTAACATCGATTCCCAACCAATATCCATGAATTTTTGCCGAGTGGACAAAGACGTGTGCGGCCTAGCATTGTCCTGCTGGAAAATTACACCTTTACGATTGACCAATTCTGGTCGCTTTTCCTTGGCCGCTGCATTCGATTTGTCCAGTTGCTAACATTCACAGATAATAAAAAATAACATAATAATAATAATAATAATAATTTTATAATATAACATTTGCGGATATCATAAAAATGGGAGTGAGAGACATCTATAACTGAAATCGGCAATTACTTAGTTGCCAACCCAATATTTAGTTATTGCTGTGGCGCGAGTAATAATGAGTATTTGGAAAATTTGTATTCAAGTATGTCATCGATGATTCTACATTTCAGGGGTTGGGCTGCTCTCAAAGCAGCCACCCCATACCGAGAAACTCAAATAGGCAGCGCCGGCGTGGACGTGTTAAGCAAGAGACGAACTGAGCGTAGAAATCGTTCCTCAAACAATGGAAAATGCAAGCTGTAATATGTACATAACTTGATATTGTAAAACCCATTCGAAATCGCAACTAAATATCCGTATTTGAAAAATTTTAATTTAAAAGGGTTTATGTGCTCACGGTAATACTATTGTAAGAAACGCAAGGCCAGTAATCCTGCCTCCGCCGGTAGTATATTTTTCCTTTCATTTTCCACGCATTTTTTTTGTAGCGCAACGATAAAAAATGTTGCTGTAATAATAATGCTCATATTTTTAGCGGAGGAAAGCCGGACTGAAAAATGTTTTCAGTACGCGTGGAAAATTTTTCGCATCGTACATACGTTTTTAAACGCAACGAATGGAAGTAATTGTGAATGGAAACATCACTAATACGTATTTAATGAAAGTAATTGTTAATAAAAACGGCGTTAATATGTATTTAATGAAAGTAATTGTTAATAAGAACATCATTAATATGTACTTAATATTGGTTCATTATCGACAAATGTGATAAATATTAATAGGATATTGATTATTAATAATTCTGGGGTCGACAGGAGTGTTATTATTACAAAATAAAAATTGTTTGACGTTATAAAGGTGTGTTTAAAAGAAACAACCAAATATACCTAATTTTCGCGGTTGATTTTCCGGTATACCTCGTGTAAATAAAAACCATGTAAACGATAATATAACAAATAGTCGAAGTATTCGTACACCTTCTAAAACGGAATAACTTTTTTATAATTGGGCGATGCGATCTAAATTTTCTTGAAACGTTACAGGAATTAGGTTACTGGACAAACTTTTTTATCGAAGCCTGTAACGAAAATTTAAAAATTGCAGTTTCTAGATCTCGGTAACTTTTACAGTCGCTGAAACTTTCATTGAAGGTGTACGAATAATTTGCACACCGAGTGTACGTAACAAGAACAGCACATGACATTATTGAATAAAACTTTACTTCAATTCAATAGAATATTTTTCATTGTTCTGTTGCTAGTGAAACAGAACAATTTAAAACGATTCAAATACATCCATGCGTGTAACGATAAACGATATAAATATCGTTCTTTTTATAAATAACGGAAACATCCTTTTTAGCAGAACTAAAACGTAAATAGAAATTAAGACAAAAAAAATAAGCAACATTCGAGTCGTGTTAAATTAAAATTTGTAGTGCACAAATAAACTTGCATCTCGTTTTCTAAACCACGTTCAATCGTGTAAAGAGAGAATAATTACGTATAATACCTCGAAAAGTGATAGTACTGGGAGATTCGCCTGTTCTTGCTATCGCTATGATTCTTGAAATATTAGGGGAACCGGAAAGTTATGTCGTTTGTTTACATTAAATTCAAACAGATGAATATGCGCAGAAACGACATTACTTTCCGATCCCCCTAATACAATTGTTTGGACATTTATAAATGCTCGCTGAGATTTTTCAAGAAAAAGGAAGCATTTGTATAGATATTGCAAAGATTTTGCAACGCATACTGCAACCAGTAGCTACCACCATTCCAGAACCGATGACTGACCTTGCAAAGGTTAATATTAGTACTCACTGATCGCGGTACACACGCCCAAGATCCTCGTCAAAGTCGTCAGATGAGTATCGGTGTTTCTAACGAAAGTGGACATGCCGACCGGACACGAAGATGCGTTAAAACCCTGCGCCTGTATCACTCTATGATGGTTAACATACCGATTCACATTGACGAGGAACCACTCGCGGTCGAGTGAAAACGTGAAATCGTGTGAATCGCGTTGGCGGGTAGACGAAGTCACGTTCGAGGGTTGCTTTCGTCAACGGAACAGCATCCGACCCCTTTCGAGGATCACGCGCAACTAAGTGTCTACGTTTTTCAGGGGTGAGTTCATATTCGCTACCCCCGCATTCTGATGCGCGCACGCGCTGCTCTTACTTTGCCGTTTAAATTTCCTCCCTTGTGCAGCGTTACCGATACCGCAATAATTCATCGTGCTTCATCGTATATTTTGTAGTTTGCTCGAATTTGCACCGGAATTAATATTGTATGCCCTTCATTAGTGTCTAGACTCCTAGGTGGATAACCTTTTGTCTGGAACGTATTAACTCGTCGTACCTTGAAGTTTATGCTTAAGTTACCCGCATGCTGAAACGTGTTATAATAAATTGTGAAATAGTTAGCAAATAATGAAACATTCGTTAATAGTTATTATGATTACTGGAAATTATTATGTCAAAATGTATATTAATACATATTTTATCAATGTGTAAAGAGGACTAGACAATTTCTATATAAAATGTTCGTAACTAGATTGGTCACAGGTCATTTTATAACAATAAGCAAGAAACAGAAATATATTTTGCTTATTATAAAGTATGGAGTGTTACATTGCGATAATACTCTAGCAACCTAGTTACTAATAAAAAAATCACATTCTAGATAGTAAAAGCTATTTTCTTTAAGAATTGTTTAAGTAAACGATTTTACAATTTCTTTCTGACATAGTGAAGTTATTCGAAATTATTAGTTAAGCAACCAGTAATAATATTTGAAGCTCCAGATTCAGTTATTACATTTTATAAAAACTTAGAACCCTTAGATGTACCTATTTTAGTATCACACTCGACATTACCGACAATCCATGAATTTAAACTTGTTAGTAAGAATCTAGTATTCCGTATAGTACATTTGTATTACGTATATAGGGGTTGATGCAAATAGCGTATTCATTCAAATGGAAATAAAGATATCAATTGTGAAATTTAATAAGGACTACAAAGATATAGTTTCACGGATTTTTTACCAAGGTAAACACCTATTTTGTGTATTTAACTCCAAAAAGCAATTCGTAAAATGCATAATTCCGTAGTTTTATTTTCGTATAACAAAATATTCTGTTTAGTTTTATTAATTATCACAGAAATCTGTAACATTCGTGTCAACTATAAAGAGTTGACATAAAAGTTATAGGTAATGATACAATATGTTGCAGTAATGATACCGTTCAAAGCAAAAGAGGCTATGAACAATTAAGAATATTTGTAAACTATAGCGCGGTAAAAGTGGAAAGTAACGTACCATGCGATGGACAAGAACAACTTGCCATTAGAGGTCTTCAATTATTCGTAACTTGTTATGTGTTTCACAATATCTATGTATTTCGGAACCATTTCCTTTTCCTTTTACCTGTTATCGAATGCTACTACTATAGCTCGTTTCGTATATCGCTAATAGGAATCGTCAAGGTTAGCTTACAATTAGCAGACCGTACGACTTCCTCTGACGCTACTTTTATCGATTCTTCGATTTCTGGTTCACATATTCAGTTCAGGAATCATATCGGTTTCAGCTGTCTGAAATTATGCACACAAAATATCGCTACAAAAACGAAAGAAATTGACGAGAAACAAGTTAATTCAATTAGGTGATCGGTAAAATATAGCAAGTATATCTTATAATAGTTCCATACTGCTTCTATTGCTCTATTCAAACGGAGAAGACTGCTTACTCGCATCGAGATTTCGTAACATTTCAAAAACGCATCTTTAAGTTTGCTTGGATCTAAATGTAATTTAACCTTTGCTTCTATCTTTAAAAATTCATTACATCTCTTTGGAATTATAATGAAAGTTTTTCAGAATCTACTGTTTGCAACTTCATTAGTCTTCTAAAAAAGACATGTTTATCTTACTTGTGTAGTATATATACAGAGAATTTTCTATGATATTTACTGCATACTTGCGTAGTTAAAATCCTATTTCTAAATTTATATTCGATATCGCGATCTTTTCTGGAACCATATTCACAACAGCTTTGCATAGATGCGCATGTGCATTGGAAATTAGGGTCGTTTTAATGGACTACATTCATCGCTGTTTAAATACTTCGTGGCGGGGTACGTTTATGTGTTTGAATAAAATACAAATTTTTTTGATGGATTATGAACGCTGATTCACGAAGATTTTCCGATGAAACAAATTACATATAATTTTGCTTTTGATAAACGAAACTGGCGAACCAGTAATAGTGCAGTGATGGTAGGATGATTCAACCGAAAGTTACGATTAAGGATGTACTGCTAATGAGATAATCAATAAAATTAACGTGAACTGTGTGCAAGGTTTCATTTAATAAGGAAGTGGAGGGGAATTATACATAAATCGTCTACAGATAAAACAAAAATACGTTTTAAGAAGCATGAAATGCATAAAAAGACAGTTAAACGAAATACGTAAGTACATATTATAATAAGATATTTCTCACATGTTCATTTGTTTTTCATATATTTTGAAACACAATATTTGAAGTTTTCATATAATGTTAACTTTTCAGTTTAATTAAAATAATTTGTGAATCTTTAAACAAAATTTAAAAATATTAAATTTCTATTCATCTGTATTGTAACAAAAAATTAAATAAAATTCATGTATTTATGCAGACCTATTTCATTAATACAAAGCACAAAAACAACAGAAAAATTTTTATGTGCAAGAGAGTATAAGGATGATGATAACGAGTCAAGCAAACATTTTCAACTTCCAAGTTTACAGAAGAAAAAAATATGGAAAGATGTTAATAGTCAGGCGTCGACATCGGATGAAATTAGCAAAGCAACAGTTTCTACATCCTCGTTAACAGATTTGGAAGATATTGTCACAGCAAAAGTTGTGCAGCAATGGGATGCTATTGAAAATACACTCTACGAAGATGGTGATCAAGTTACGCAAACAGCTCTTTTAGAAGAATGTACGCAATGGAGGAAACAAATACCACACTTCAGGATTGTTGGAAAAAATCCATATCTATCGACTAAAGCAAACTATGAAAATGGTGATAGAAATAGCGGACAAACAAAGGCTACTCTCGATTTGTTCAATGAGAAAGCATTCTCAGAACGTAGTTATTCTGTAAAGGTAAAAAATATCTTGAATAATTTTTGTGTAAGCTAAATGTGTCAGTTATGGTTCCTTAATATTAACAAGTTATTCAAGGAATACTTTACAGTATATTATATAGTACATGCATAGTTTATCCTTTGTAGGAAAAGAAAGCTATATCTAAACATAAATCACAAAATACACAACAGGATATGGTTCTTGATATGCTTTTTGAGTATGTGATGTCTGAATTATTTCCAAGTAAAGAAAACGAAATTGAGAGAGATTTTGAGAAAGCTCTACAAATACGGATGGCACCTATTCATAGTAACAGAAGTTCTGCAAAAAGTTACAAATCAACTTGGTACGAAGAAACTATCCCTCTGGATAATACTTTTTCAAATGGCAAGAGTAGAGTATTAGAAGATCAAATTCTACCAATAAGAACAGAAATTGGTGATAGTACTCCTGAGATTCGGAAGTATGTTCATATACTATATTACACCTGGCAGAAAGTCTGTGATTAGCATTTAAGAAACAGAAAATATTTCTGCGAATTACTGTTTCTAAGATAATTATATGATCTATTTTTATGAATTACATTCATCATCTGGATTTATAGGAAATATGATAATCATACACATAACGATAGAATCAAAAGTGGACAGGAGGACACACTTGCTATAGAAGATAAACTTTTTAGGCCTCATACTAGTAGGAATAAACGTGGGACTGTTTTTAATGAGAAGATCGTAGTCAGTCCTGTACCATATATTCTATCGACCAGAGAGAGTTTTTCTACTATAAAGACCACTCCTATCAAATTTATGGGAGAGCCTTTAAATGTTTCTACATTTCAAGGTGTGTATGTCATATTTTTTTAGAGAAATGTGTAGGTTCTGAGAAACTTTTTCTTACGTATGTCTCTAACATCGATATTACTATAAAATATGTAGGAAATAGTTCAATTCCAACAAAATATTCAAATTATCAGTCAGCTTGGCATTCCACTATGTCGCCTGCAGTATGGTCAAAGAATGTAAAGCTTGCTCCATTAGACACTTCACGACTTCCCAGTTGTAAGAATAGGTAAATTGTATTAATATATAGTTTTTTATAAATAGTTTTAATACTATTTTTCATTTTTTAATATTGCAGATCTTTAACATCGTCATCAGTTGTATTACAACGTAATAGAAAACCCCTAAGCCCTATTCCTCGTACCATTCCGGTTGACTCTGCACAAACAACTTATAATAATACTAAATGTTTCGAAATTCAAGGAAGACACATAAGTCCTGGACAATCCCCTAAATTAAGCGCGACTAGCACTGGTTTAGATTATAGCACTAGGAGTAGTAAAAACAAGAAAAAGAGAAGTCAATCAAGGACGAAATTGCAATGAATTACAATCAATATTATTAACTCGGAAAATCAATTTTATATATCATATGATTTCATTATCACCTTTGCAACTTGAATTATTTTAATTAGCTTAATTATCAAACAGGGAAAACTTTGTATACACTTACAGTATTGGATTCATATTACTATGGAGAAAAGAAATGTTTCTTTTTCGTATAATTTTACACTAATGTCTCGTATTATAAAATGTTTCTAACGTCTTTAACGAGCAATATACATATGCTGTCAAAGTTTAGATATCGATCGGTGTAAAGTAATGTTTTATATAAGACATAATTGTACTGTTATTGTTATGTAATGTTAAGGAATATTGATATGTTAGTGTTGAATCGTGTTCTCATTACAAGTGTATTTCGCACTATATATGAAAAAAATCGTTCGTACACTGTGTTACGAATGATATGTGTTATTGTTTCCAGCGCGCAAATGTGTATTTGATATATTGTTGTTATTCGATAGAAAAATGTATTGTTGAAACTATCTCTACCTCACTGTCTACATGTTAATCAATACACATGCTTATGTGTGCAGGTGAATATATTTTTGTAATGCACAGATTTGTAAATGTATTTCTTGTAAATAAACGATAAATAGCGTGTTCAAATATATTTTTATTCAGTCATTGTTTCTTACATCTTATTTTACAGATTCAAAATCATTGTAATATTTTTTAATGTAAATCGTATATTAATCGAAAAATTAATTATTCGTTTTAGAATATGAAAATGCTCAAAAAATCGATTTATATCGGTTTTGTTTTGAAACCTCACATAAATTTAACAGATATATAATATTTATAATAGATTGTCTATGTGTTTATTTTTTAAATATATACGTATGAATCAAATTTTGTTTACACGCTAATTTTTTTTAAATTATTAATATTAGATAAACTATTGTGAATTAATATTCTCCAAGTAATCGTAGTTTCAATATTACTTACTCAGACACTTCGCTTCTTTCACTACACTTCGTTCCGGTAGTTCACGTTTGTTAATAATCTTCTATAAATTACTTTTCGTACAAAATTTTAAGAAACAAACACATTTTTGCTGAACTTTCGTTTGAAGTTAAAAACATAGGAAAAGAAACGAGAAGAGTATGATGACTACGAATCTTAATTGCGACAACGGCAATAATAGCAAAAAAAATTGATCAAGCACGCAATTTGGTAATATATGTATTATAAATTATATGGAATGTTTTTGCGAATTTCTTTCCAAAATGAAAAACATATATACGAATTTACATGCCACTTAAAATTCAATCAATTCGTTTTACGATAAGTGTCAAATTTTTCAAAGTGTTTAAACGTAACTATTGAATCATGTACATATATTGATATGTGTTTATATTTACATGTATTATCCCGTAGATGTCATAATGTACAAGGTAACTATACTAATGATGCATGGTTAAACTGAATGAGAAACAATACAGCATAGCATTAACCATTAATGCTTTAGTATATAAATACAAAGTTAAAATCCGATTCTCTATTACCACAAAATACAAAATCGTATATGACTTATGCGTAATTAAAAAGAAAGATTCTCATAGATAGACAAATAACAATATACGAACGAATATTTCGAGTGTGATTGTATATTTGTTATAAATAAATGATGCGTTTTATTAGTGTGTACTATTTAATGCATTACCCCGTAATACCTAATGGCGAGTCGATTACTAAATATCATGTCGAAATACAGATCGGTAGTGGCGCAGCTTATGGCATCGGAGATTAACCCGCAGTAATTATGTATAATGTGTAACGATCATAATTGTGAAAATGAGAAAGAAAGTGTAACGATTGATTCCACTTCGTTCGATCATTCATTCTGTTCAATATCATCATTAAAAAAATTGTTCTCTCACGGTTGATCACGTACGTTCGATCGGCACTTGTACGACATTGACTTTCGTGTGTGTTAGTAAACGCTACTCGAAGAGAAAACTTACGCATTTAGAACATTAATCTCCTTATAGTAATCTTACAAGTTACAATTGGACCAAGTGTACGTTGAGATGCAACAGTTTGTTTTTTTACACATTTACCTACTGGACACCAGAAGTAATGACTACATGGCCTTTTAAGTTATTGTTAAGAAATACTTACATATTTCAGGCTCCAAACGAAGATTAAATAAACAATAATCGATTAATCGCCTTACCCTGATTAATTGTAGGTATTTATGTTTACTGTACCGACAGAAACAAGTTAATATATAGTCAAAGACAAATATATAGACAAATTATCATAATATTAATATTATAGACATAATATACATAGACAAATAGAGTCTATACAGACATATAGTCTTAAGAGAAATATGACTGTGTATTTCATTTCGTTTGAATGATATCGAATTGTAATGTACGTGTAAAGTTCAATTATTGATCTAATTTACAATTTATAAATCAATTAATGATAAGAGTAGGATCGACTGCCGTAAGTTATATAGTCTTAAGAGAAATATGATTGTGTATTTCATTTCGTTTGAATGATATTAAATTGTAATGTACATGTTAAATTCAATTATTGATCTAATTTACAATTTATAAATCAATTAATGATAAGAGTAGGATCGACTGCCGTAAGTTATATAGTCTTAAGAGAAATATGATTGTGTATTTCATTTCGTTTGAATGATATTAAATTGTAATGTACATGTTAAATTCAATTATTGATCTAATTTACAATTTATAAATCAATTAATGATAAGAGCAGTATCGACTACCGTAAGTTC